AAGAACTCTGTGGAATAGTTTATCACCGGTGATTTTATGGACCGATACGACTTAGGGACCTTCAAGAAAAGAGCTTACTCCTTTCTAAAAGGCCGGCAACGCACCTGTAATTCCCCTGGTGTTGCAGTTGTTCATGGACGGCGGTAGTCACTTAACAGCAGCCGTACGCGTACTTATAAAACAAAATTAAGATGGAGTGCCTCGCTTCTTGTAAAAAGTGTCTCCGGTTCTCTAAACTCACCATACAAAATACAGCAGCATTAACCTGCTATTTTACGCTTGTATTCTTCCAGAACTATAACGGTTCGTGCTAGAACTATAATATCGCTGCAGCATTGCTCTGCCACGTGCAAAAACGTGCATTTCCTATAGTCGCCTCTTACGACACTCATGAGATGAAATGAGGTTATGGTCTCTTTTAAACCGCCAACATACTGCAGCATCTTTTGTAACCCGTCTTAAGATGGAAGAATTGTCGTAATCGCTTGGCAGATGCTATCCTGAAAAAGATTGTCGATTGTTGTACCAGAGATCCTGCACTTAGACGTACTGCTTCACTACACTGTCAGAATTAGCTTACGTTGTTCTGCCTCGCAACAATGACGCAAACATTCATCATCATCATCATTACAGCCCTTCACAAGTCCACTGCTGAACATAGGCATCCCCCAAGCAATGCCACAAAGCACGGTCCTGAGCCACCAGCATCCATCGACTTCCTGCATGTCTTAGCAGGTCGTTACTCCATCTAGTGGGAGGACGCCCTAATCTTCGCCTGCCGGTACGAGGCTGCCACTCGAGAACCATCGGTTGTCGGTTCTTCGAGCGGCGAGCCCATTGCCAGTTTAGCTTACTTAATCCGTTGGGTTTTGTTGGTTACTCTGGTTCCACTGCGGATATCCTCGTTTTTAAGTCTATCACGCAGAGAAACCCCGAGCATTGCCCTCTCCATAGCTCGCTGAGCGACCTTGACCTTCCTCATTTTCAGCCGAGAACAGTGCCATTAGCTTTGAAACATAAAGTTAAGTTAGAATTAAATAAACTTTTAGATTTAGGTATTTTAGAACGCCTAGATTATGCAGAGGTGGCGACATACGCATATGTGGCGATTATTCAGTGACGTTGAATAAATTAAACTACGCCTACCGGTACTCATTCCACCAATAACCGATGGAGAAGAACCTTTCTTCTCCATCGGTTATTGATTCTTCGAGCTATATGGCCGGCCCATTGCCACTTCAGCTTACTAATCCGTTGGGCTATGTCGGTCACTCTGGTTTTACTGCGGATATCCTCCTTTCTGAGTCTATCACGCAGAGAAATCCCAGCATAGCCCTCTCCATAGCTCGCTGAGCGACCTTGAGCGTCCTCATACGGCCAGCAGTGAAGGACCACGTCTCTGATCCGTAAGTCATCACTGGGAACACGCACTGGTTGTACACTTTAGTTTTCAGAGATTGAGGTATACCTGACGAGAAGATGTGTCGTAATTTCCCGAACGCTGCCCAGCCGAGTTAAATTCGTCGATTGACCTCTCGGTCGAAGTTGGACTTACCTAGTCGGACTATTTGTCCCAGGTAAACGTACTCGTCAACAACTTCGAGCATAGTGCTGCCAACTACCGGCATAGGGGTGACATGGACATTAAACATGATCTTTGTTTTGTCCATGTTCATCTTAAGACCTATCCGTTGGGAGACACTATTGAGGTCATTGAGCATAGTGCTAAGGTTCTCCAGCGATTCTGCCATAAGGACCACCAAAGGTGAGTGATGTACTCGCCATTGATGTTAATACCGTATCCTTTCCAGTCCAGTAGCTTGAAAACGTCTTCCAACGCAGCGGTGAAGAGTTTCGGGGATATAACGTCACCCTGTCTTACACCTCTCTGCAGTTGGATAGGTTTCGAACTCTGGTTCTGTACTCGGATAGCCATCGTAGCCCTACTTACCGAATCAAAGGCTTTCTCATAGTCAACATACGCCAGGCAAAGTGGCAGATTGTACTCTTCGGTCTTCTGTACAATCTGCCGCAGGGTATGTATGTGGTCTATGGTACTGTAGCCTTTTCGGAAACCGGCTTGTTCGGGAGGCTGGAAGTCGTCGAGTCTGCGTGCGAGACGGTTCGTAATGACTCTCGAAAACAGCACGTAGACGCAGCTCAGAAGGAAAATCGGTTTGTAGTTCTTCAAGAGAGCGTTGTCGCCTTTCTTAAAGAACAAGACCACCGCACTTCTGCTCCACGCCTCCGGAGTAGTGCCACCATGGAGGATGGAATTGAAGAGCTTCTGAAGGACTTCAAGTACCGGTGTTCCACCCGCTTTCAGAAGCTCCGCTGTAATTCCATCCCCGCCTGGGGCCCTGCCGTTTTTAAGGTGCTGGAGAGCCATTCTAATCTCGCTCAGACTGACGTCCGGGATATCATCGGAATAGTGTCGGGTAAGACTTGCTCTTGGATCGTTACTCACACTTGCGTGTGGCTCCAACGATGATGTGTACAGCTGCCCATAGAACCTCTCAATCTCACTCAAAATCTCAGGTGTCTCGGAAACGATGCTGCCACACTCAGTCTTCAGCTTTGACAGTTGGCTCTTTCTGGCAGACAGATCTCTGGCAAAGACTTTGGAGCCCTGGTTCCGCTCGATCGCTTCTTTAATATGAGCAGTATTAAAATTGCGTAAGTCTCGCCGCATGCATTTGGAGATCTGTCTATTCAGTTGCCTGTATGCTGTCAAATCTGTTGACGATTGCAGCCTCATCTCCCGTCTAACAGCCATGAGATTAAGAGTGTGATCGGAGAGTTTTTGTGTTCTTCTGTGGCGGGTCTTGCAGAACTTAGCTCCAACCACATGGACAGTTTCCACGAGCTTGTCATTCATATCGTCCACTGCATTGCAATCTTCTAGGCACTGAAAGCGGTTACGTAACTCGAGCTGAAAAGTCTCGGGATTCTGGATCAGAGCACGAGGGGGGACGGAGCGTTGACTTCATTAGACGAGACCTCTCCAACTTAACGTTAAGGTTCAGTGTGCCTCTAACCATTCGGTGATCGCTGCCGGTTTTCACCCTTGCGATCACTGAGACATCACTGAACAGTTGGCGTCTGGTCGTCATAATGAAGTCAATCTCATTTTTTGTCGAACCGTCGGAGCTCGACCAGGTCCACTTCCTGTGGGGCCGCTTATGGAAGAAAGAGTTCATCATAAAGAGTCCCTCTTTCTCCATAAAGTCGGCCAGCTGCTGGCCCCTTCGGTTCCATTGCCCTACTCCAAATTTCCCTAACTTCAGCTCACCGTTTTCTCTTGTGCCTAGTATTTGCGTTGAAGTCTCCCATCAACACCATGTAGTGGGTTTTGGAGGAATGCATGGCTCTAGAAATATCCTCATACATTTCCTCCACCTCCTCATCGGGATGTGCCGAGGTTGGTGCGTAGACCTGTATGACCTTCAGCGAATACCGTTTGGTAATTCTGAGTATCAGGTACGCGACCCTCGTCGACACACTCCCAATCTTTACAACGTTGTTGACGAGAGACTTGTGGACGATAAATACGACACCTCCTTGGGACAGATGGTCGCCCTCCCGGTGATAGAATAAGTTGCCGGACTCGAGGATTACCGTGTTCTCCCCCTCTCTTCGGACCTCAGATAATCCAATAATATCCCAGCGCAACTTGTCTACCTCTTCTTCCAGCTCCAGTATCTTCTCGTCAGTCCTCAGGATGAGTGCGTTATACGTTGCCAGGTCGTGTCGTCGTAGGTGGCAACCGAAGCTCCACCGGAGATTCTTAGCATCCCCTGCCCCGCCGTTACCATGGTTGCCACCGTAGCCAGGAATAGCGGGGCCGCCGGGGACTGGGGGCCGTTTATTTGCGTCGTTGCTCATGGGGGGGGATATTTGCCATAGTTGCCACGCTTGGCGAGCGGGTTGGCAACCGCAGTTTTTTATTATGTTATTGTTGTTAATAGGAAAATGCTGCTGCCCATCTCCTTTTTGTGTCCCTCTGTCGCCTCTTACGACACCCACGGGAAGATATGGGGTAGTGGATATTCTCAACCGCCACTACACGGCTACACGCCACTACACGCAAACATAATGAAATAGAATCGCGCGATCGAAATTTCTGAACGTTTACTTTATATATCTAAGCCCCGTTCTGTCCCTCACGGAGTGCTAGCCACTCTCCGGAATGAACATCTTTCCGTATAGCAATGCTGCAATCATGCTGCATGATGAAAGACAAAGCAAACCATTTAGTTCAAATCCTTGGTATTTCTACAACAAAGAAGTAGTGACTGTCTGGTTGACCGATGGCGAAAGGGAGATCAGAAATTAAAATCTATGGTATACCCAGCTGAAGTTCATTTAGCAAAGCCACTTAACTTTCTTGCAGCTGGATTTGTTTATAGAATAACGGAGTAATAAACACATAGTCCACCTGGTCATAAGTAGATGCTGTAGCCGTGTGCACAATGCAGATACGTTGTCACCCCCAAGGACTAATATGGGATGCGTCGTTTCCAGTGAAAAGAGTCTCCGGTTCCTACACTCACATCTACTATCACTACAGCAACATTAAGCTGCTGTTTTAAGCTGGTATTCTCAAATTATTAAGTGATTGACTATAAAAACGTTAAAAAAGTGTTCAATTCAAACCCGGTTTATCCAATATCACCCTCACGCGGAAAAAGTTAGAAGTGTTCTATTCGTGTGTGTTGTTAACCAACCCGCATTATAGCTAACTATTCAAAAGTCATTCATCGACAGTTGTTTGCGATTATTAAATTGGCCCACTAACGAGTAAGCGTAGTTGGCGCAGCGGTTGGACTAGCCGCGCTCTCGCTACGCATACGAAGGCCCTGGTTCTATTCCACGCCGGGCACGGAACTGATCATCTCGTTGTAGCGGAAAAATATTTTTATTCATTTAGTATAAAATAAAAATAAAAAAATAATAATTTTATAAACAAAATGAGTACGCAAAGAACACCGCCGTGTACAATGTCTCAAATAACTAAAAGTGACAGTGACGGGGGCCACCACACATTAGCGCCTGCTTCAAATAACGTAGCAAAAAGGCCTAGCAAACGCCCAGCCGTCTACTCTCCTCCAATTAGGAATTTACTGGAAGGCGCGGACGATGCTACAAACACAGCACTCCGCAACATAACTGAAGACGTAGTACAACGGGAAATGAGTAATTTACTGACTAAACTTAACATCTCAATGGGCACTTTGCTCAACACCCAACTTAAATCAATCAAAGATGAAATACAAGACGTAAAAGAGTCAATGTCATTTATGAGTAGTCCGTATGAGGAGATTAACAAGGAGCTTAAAACATCCAAAAAATCAATACAGGATTTACAAATAAAGAGTTTTGAGAGTGTTACGCAACCCTAATCTAGGCAATCTGCAGCGTTGCATCAGATTACGACAACCACGAGGCACCGAGTCAGCACAACGTGTGTACTGTGTAATATTACCTGGTTCTGATATTTTACCGTGTGAATTCATTCTAGATTCAAACTTCGAATTAGAGTCACCTCTTTTAGTTGTAATAATTAATTGTAATAATTATTGTAAATTAAATATATTTTAAATAAAGATTGCTTTTTTTTGCAACCTCTGGCTGGAGCCCACATAATTGGCGCAGTCGGTAGGATCTTCTAAAGTAGAGTCAGTGAATCAAGAGTGACTAAGAAGATACAGAACCTACGGGAGCACCAGTCCAGAGGCGAATCCAGGCATTGATTCCGCAATAAGAAGTAATGCTGTAAGTGCTTGAATCTTTCAATCCTTACCCTTCCTAGTTCCATAATTAAAATTTTACTCCATCCTAATTTTATATACATATTTTTATTGCATTTTATTTCGTTTTAACTGTGTTAGTTTAAAGCTTCCAAAATTTTCCACCCAAGGGGAACACGGAACGTTAGGTTAGATAGTAGTAGGACTTCTAAGCTTAGCATTATAGACGAAAATAGAGGTTAAGAAACCGACAGTATGGCTCAATCAAATGAGATTGATTTAATTTATAAGTCACTTAGAGTTCTGCCTGAATTTGACGGTAACCCTTACATCCTTACGCGCTTTATTAATCTGTGCGACCAACTGGTAATAGCTCATGTAAAAAATGAGCCCGGATACGAATTAGTCAATTTATCCCTTATAAACGGAATTTTGAATAAAATAACCGGGCCCGCGGCTAGGCTAATAAATTCGAACGGAATACCCGAAACCTGGGCCGGCATCAAAAGCGCTCTTATAAATAACTTCGCCGACCATCGCGACGAAACTGCATTATACAGCGACTTATCATTACAAACCCAAGGGTCCAGTACCCCGCAAGAATTTTACGAGCGAGTCCAAAGCTTATTTAGTACAATAATGACGTATGTTACCCTACATGAAACGATCGGTACGACCATCGAAGCTAAACGCGCACTCTATAAAAAACTGACCTTACAAGCTTATTTACGCGGACTTAAAGACCCTCTAGGGTCTAGAATAAGATGTATGCGACCCGAAACTATGGAGAAAGCACTTGAATTCGTGCAAGAGGAGTTAAACACCCTCTATCTCCAACAACGAAATGAAGGCGGTCAAAATAGGAAAGAATGGACTCCACCTACTCCTAGCTCTAATTTACAGTTAAATAATTTCATTCCAAAACCTACCGCGTTTAACATGCCGTCACTATCTAGATCACAGGTTAGTAATACACTGAACTCATTTAGACAGCCACCTATGCAACCGCACGCTGCACAGGGTTGGAGACCTAGTCCACCGCCCCAGACACATGCACCCGTGGTCCCACCGTACGCAACAGATGATGCGTGCTCCACCACCAAATTATAACCCACACAGTAATGTGTTTAAGCTCCCTAACAGACCTCAGCAACCACAGGGTTTCAATTTAAATAATAACTTGCGTCCTTCTCCTATGAGCGGTGTCACCCCATTTGTTTCAAAACCCTTACCACCGACAGGACATGACTGGCGACGATTTGGCAAACCACCGCCGAGCAATTACTTTAAAACTCGTGAGGTAAACTTTAACGAGACGGGTTTTGACTACGACTATAGCACCGACGCGTACTATGAATATGACTATCCTGACTATAATTATAATCAAGAGTACTATACTTACGAACCATATCCTAATTATAACTACGAGCAATCGTATAACCACGCGGAAACTCCCGTCGTAGAGGAAGTAGATTCTAGTTTTACTCCGGCTAATGATGAGGATTTTCAGAAGTGCCCCAAACCCGAAAAATCAAAATAGAAGTAAATTTCCACATACAAAGGCAACTCGGGTACATTCAGACAAGTAATCCCCCATTGAAATTCTTAATAGACACCGGTGCTAATCAATCATTTATTAGTCCCGATGCCGTAAGAAAATATTTTAGCCACATCCTACTGAATTATGACCCATTCGAGGTCACTAGTGTTGATGCGACAAGTAAGAACGATTATTCCATAACTCTCCCATGCCCTTTAGAGCTTAATGAGCACGATAATATAACTTTGTTCATTCATAAATTCCATAATTACTTCGATGGACTGATAGGTTTTGATTTTCTTGGCGCATGGGGTTCTAATATTGATCTTAGGAATAAACTACTTATTACTCGTAACGCAAAAATTCCCACCGAAATGTATGACTCACGTAACGCAAATTTATATGAAGAAATTATACTCGCGCACTCATCAAAGTTAGTTCGGTTGCCCATAAATTCAAAGGACGGTGACGTAGTAGTTGAAAATCAAACCATTTGCAACTGCATAATTTCTGATTGCTTAACAAAAGTAATTAATAATCGTGGTTGGGTCGAAATTACTAATAATAGCTCAAATGACGTGATTTTTTCGATGGACCGTCCGGTAGAAGCCGAAATATTTAATGTCGAGTGCCAGTTTACCGAAACGTTATCAGATCGCGCTAAAAATGTTTTATCCCGTCTTCGGACCGATCATCTTAATCCCGAAGAGCTAGCAAACCTACACGGCTATGCGCCTCGTATGCCGACGTGTTTTACCTTGATGGTGAACCCTTAACATTCACCAACAAAATTAAACATGGGATTAGAACGCACGACGAAATTCCCGTACATACCAAGAGTTACAGATATCCGTATGTCCACCGACAGGAAGTCCGGGACCAAATTAATAAGATGCTCGAGCAAAATATAATTAGACCATCTGATTCTGCCTGGAGCTCTCCTATTTGGATTGTACCCAAAAAGGCAGACGCTTCCGGCAAAATAAAATGGCGTCTTGTTGTAGACTTCAGAAAGGTGAACGAAAAGACTATCGAGGACAAATATCCTATTCCTAATATAACCGATGTGCTAGATAAACTGGGCAAGTGTCAGTACTTTACCACGCTCGATTTGGCTAGTGGATTTTATGAGGTGGAGATGGACTCCGCAGACATTCACAAAACTGCTTTTAATGTAGAGAATGGGCATTACGGATTCCTTAGGATGCCAATGGGTTTGAAAAATAGTCCATCAACCTTTCAGAGGGTGATGGACAACGTATTAAAGAACCTGCAGAACGAAATATGTTTAGTGTATCTCGATGACATAATTGTGTTTAGTACATCCTTACAAGAACACATGACTAACCTGGAAAAAGTATTCAAAAGTTGCGGGAATCCAACTTCAAAATTCAGATGGATAAATCGGAGTTTTTGAAGCTGGAAACCGAGTTCCTAGGCCATGTTATTTGCAAAGACGGGGTTAAACCCAACCCAGACAAAATTAAAGCCATCGAAAAATACCCACTACCAAAAACTACAACCGAAATTAAGCGTTTTCTAGGGCTATTAGGATACTATAGAAAATTTATACCGGACTTCGCACGTCTCACGAAACCACTCACTCACTGTCTTAAAAAGGGATCAAAGATAACATTAGATCAAAATTATATTAACTGCTTTGAACGTTGTAAAACTCTTTTAACAAATGATCCAATCCTACAGTATCCAGACTTCAGTAGAGATTTTATTTTGACAACCGATGCTTCAAACGTGGCGATTGGCGCAGTTTTATCACAGGGGACAGTCGGTTCAGATAAACCCATTGCATACGCTTCCCGTACACTTAACTCCAGCGAAATTAACTATAGCACGATAGAAAAGGAACTTTTAGCTATCGTATGGGCGACTAAGTATTTCCGTCCATATTTATTCGGCCGTAAATTCAAAATTATCACAGACCATAAACCCTTACAATGGATCATGAACTTAAAAGAGCCCAATTCGCGTCTAACCAGATGGCGCCTTAAGTTGAGCGAGTACGATTTTAGTGTCGTATATAAGCAAGGCAAGTGTAACACGAATGCCGACGCATTATCGCGCATCGAGCTCCACAATGACGAGCTAAGACCCATAATAGACGAATTACTTTCCATTTTACCTAATCCCTCCGAAGGGGTACGCACATTAGATGACTCTAGGACTTATAACGGCTACCGAAGTCGCATACGATTCCAGAACCATCACCGTTCATACAGATAAAGAAAACCCCATCCTCGAAGTTCCGATTTCTGACGAACCGCTAAATAAATTTTCTAAGCAGATAATTTTGAATATAGTAGGGGACATAAAAGCTAGACCAGTTGTCACTAAGCCATTCGAAACACACACTCGCATTACTATTCAAATAGCTCAATCGAACATAGAGGAAGATGTCGTTAACGCTATTAAAGAATACGTCCATCCAAAAATTAGGACAGGATTACTTATCAATCCAACATCTGCTATGTACACTGTTATACCAATTATACAAAAGACTCTTAAAATTTCATCTCTTAACCTCTTTCTAACAAAAAGTGAATTGGAAAACGTTAGGGAATATCTAAGACAGCAAGAAATCATTCATAAATATCACGATGGAAAAACGAACCATCGAGGCATTAACGAGTGTTTCTCGGCCTTATCCCGTAAATATTACTGGCCGAAAATGAGAGAGCATATCACTAAGTTTATTAATGACTGTACAGTATGCGGACAAGCTAAGTCGACCGCAATCCTGTTAAACAGAAATTCCAAATTGTACCACCAGCTTCTAAGCCTTTTGAATTAGTTCATGTAGATTTACTAACCATTCAAGGGGAAAAATATTTAACAATAGTAGATTCTTTTTCTAAATATGCTCAAGCTTACTACCTGCGAGACGGCACTGCTGTCAGTGTAGTACAAGCTTTGCTGATTTTCTGCACACATCATGGCATTCCGATTACCATAGTTTCCGATAATGGGCCGGAGTTTACCAACCAACTTATTGCAGAATTCGTTAAACTGCATAAAATTCAGCACCATAGAGTAGCCCCACATGCTCCTAATGAAAATGGTATTGTTGAACGATTCCACGCCACCATATTAGAAA